AATACTGCAATGGTGGATTAAGTGTTATGCATGCTTGATGAAGGTGCATCAATAGTGGTATGAGGCATGAAAAGATATGTAAATGATACAGAAATATCCAGGGGTGAGAACTAAGGTGAGAATGCATGATTGTGGGGTAAGGGCTCAACTAACAAGTACTGTTAGAGCAGTGGACAGATCCAAGAAACACATTCTATCAAAAGGTAAAAAAAAAAAATGTTTTCCAAAAGTACTTGTGGGAGGCAAACGCATCCAAGTAAAACTGGCTAGAAATATTACAATTTGCATGCTCAGTATAATTTCTCCAATGATTTAACCCATTTCCCCTTTTGGAAGGTCGGATGGCCAAGTTGAGGCACAGTTGGGTGGCTACAGCCTCTTCAACTGAGTATGGAACAACACCCCTTGATATATGTCTGGACTATCTGGCCACTGTGTTTGCACAACATATGTAGTCATGGGACTGATTTTCTTAAATCAACTAGCCAAAGGCTGATCCTTGTGTTTACATAACATGAGTAGTCATGGGCCTGAACTTCTTCAATCATCTAGCCAAAGGTTTTGCACAACTGACTGGAATTGGAAACATTTGTTAAACTTACTGAAACCCTTGGTGACTTATTTGAAACCCTGCCCCTGTAGTGCTATACAGAAATTCTTGCTCAACACAACCTTCCAAGACTTAAGGGTATCACATTATGCAATGGCATGGCTACATGTTCCAGTAAAGCTCTCTCAAACCATTCTGAAATGAGCCAACAAAGACAAACCACATTATCTGTTTTGGCATACAGTTCAATGAGTGCCAAGATTATGTGATGCTTTAGCACTGTACAAAATAGAAGGGTGGTAGAACCATATTGCAAGAACCATGCATAGAATCAACCATATTTGTTTACTTTTGAAAATATGTCACCATAGTACTTTGAGGAATATATCAGCATTATAACAATGCTATCTGCAAGCAGTCTGAAACCACCAGTGCAAATGGCATACCATAGCAACTACAGATGCTATCATAGTTTTCATATAGATCATTGGTATGATAGATATATCACACTAAAATATAATTAATTCCACAGTCTATGTCAGATACCAAAAATTTTAGAAATATCAAGGTTGGTTCAGGAATTTCTTCCCATGCAGCACCACAGGACCAATAATCATCAAAACTGTGAAAAGAGTTGGGGACTTTCTCCACCCCTCTCCAGCAGAGCACATACATTGCCCATTCTAGAGCACTGGAAAACAATCTGACTTCTCCATTGACCAATGTCCTCTAGATCACAGCCCCATTTGCATAACATTGCATTAGTGGCTATAACAAATCAAAGGGGCTAAGATTTTGGTAGTTCATGGCTTAAAAATAGGTCAAATTTCCAGAAAAGTATTTTTATATTTTCTTACTACAGAATCTAACAAACAAAGGATCAAATTTGCATTACAAAACATAAATTATCACTGACAAGCACTCCCACTATAAAGACAAAGGTCATAGCAGTTTAAGTTAGGGTTGTGCAGAAATCTTTAAATCTGCTATACCGGCTGGTTCAGGTTTTGAAAACATCAGTAAAATGGTCCAGTGTTGGAAAACTTGACATTTCCTGGTGTAATGTATACCAGGAGATTTTGGACTCCAGGATTGTGACTAGGTAAAAAGAAGTACTTTGTACTCCATCATGATGGAACAAAAACAGCTTTTGTAAAAGCTTATTTTACCTCTTTGTGTCAGGACAAAATAAAACCAGAACATGCAACAGGTTCAGACTTGCTGCTTCCATCAGGAGCCATGTATTGATATCTGCAAGAGCAAAAATATTGCACCCACCAGACTAAGACTGCCCAATAGCAAGCAGCCTGTGTTGCCACCTAGGTACATGATACACCATGTATGGAAATGTAAAAAAGGTGTGGAATGTTGAATGGAATCACCTTTGTGAACAAAGCCGGGAAATGAGAAAGTACCAGAATCGCACCAGTCTGTAGATTAGCAAAGCTTGTCACTTCCTATGTTCGCAGACCAACTCAAACTTGAGCATGACTTAACCGACCATCGCCATCGTAATCATAAAAAATTGAAGGTAAGAGCATGAATCTACCTGTTTTGCGATTATTTAAAATATGTCCTGCCTTAAACATGATGAATGGTGTACAATTATTTTTTTGAAATGGTCAGAAAATCACTCCTAGTAACATGAAGCTCCTCTTTGCACGTTTCAGCAAAAAATCCTTTATAGCTTTTCTGTATCAGACATGTGTAAACAAAGAAAACAAAGCACCATCTTTTCTACCCAAAGAATGCATCTTTAAGTTCACAATGTTTCTGGAAATGATTTAGTATTTGCACATAACAGTAAATTGGTCTGACACCACACCTAGGAAACAAATGTCATGCCAAACACATCCAGCATAGCAACAGCAACATTGCATGACAGTAGTGGCATTACATACAGTAGTGACACTGCAGCAAGTTTCATGGCATTATATCATAATCCAAGGTTTAGAGGAATTATGGCATTGCAAAGGTATTTTCAGTTAAAAAATAATGAAAAATGTACACATCTATGGCATAACAAATATTTAAGACATTTTTCACAGAAATAAGTAAAACTTTGGCAACCTTTGACTTGGTCTGAGCCTGCAGATGCAAGTTCAGGTAGTTGCACACAATGGGGGTGTCAAGTCAACATCTCTTTTCAGGACAGATGCAGGTAAATGCAGGGTCAATATGGCAGTAAGGATGCAGGAAACTAAAGACTCACAAGAAAAAACAAAGTGATTTACAAAAAGCAAATGGCTAATTGTACGACTATGCAGACAACGACTTGTGATATGATCAAATTTTATAGGCAGGAACAGATGTTAAAACGCTGGTACGTACCGCGTCTATTCTAACAACCTGGCCCTACTCTTAATTTCTAGCCGGGGGTGATATCTTCTTTGGTCTCGTAGGTCAGACTTTCACTTTTAAGTTCAATAACCGGATGCGGATAGTAACACAGGGAAGGAAGGCAACAACAAATATTATGGCGCCCTACACAACACCCAACGCGCGACCCCTTCCCCCCAAGTCCGTGCCCTTTGAGGCTTTCCCCAAACATGTATCAGCTGCCCCAGATTGGGTGGGCCCCACTATTGCTCCCAGATCTAAAGGAATTTACCGAACACGAAGTAATTTATGTGATAGCCTGACGCATCCAAGACCTTAGACCTCTGCAAGACTCGGTTCACTCGTTTCTTATGGAGGTCGATATTGATATGGAGGGGAACGAATGGCGTGCTTTCAGAATCATGCTATTTCTGAGTTGGTGTCCTAACTGGTCCTAGGTAATCTTCTATTACATTTCACGTCGACATGACAGAATTAGAGCCGATGTCTGGGGGGGGGGGGGTTCAGGAGAATTGACTCCACGACGAGACCAAATGGTTAGGAATGTTGTCCGAGAGATGTTTTTCCTTGCAACGCCATAGGCGTCAAATAAAATCCTGCAACAAGACTGTAAAGGGCCCGCCAGCTCCACCCTTCGTCTGTGACGGAGCGGATGTAATTTGGAGGCACGGCTGATACCCTGATGTCAACAATTTTTGAGCCTGTGGTAATTCCATTGCGCTCCAAACGTCCAGTAATGTGGGCCAACGCAGGTTTATTATAGCATGCATCGTGAGAAAGGGCAAGCCCCTGTCCGCAAAAGTGTCGACGGCTTTGGCTTGTAATGGCGCGAGTCCCGCGATATTTTGCTTATCGACAAGACGTGGTTCCGCACCGTAGGCCTTTCACAAGGCATCCCCCGGTAACTCTCGTGGAGACGTTGAGCTAATGCATCGCCGATGGGCAAAATATATATCATCTGACCTGCGCGATCAGCCCTCGACCAGCCATGACTCCGCATGCGTTCTGCGGTGGAGTATGACACAGTCGCCGCATTGTCTCTGCATCGTAAGGGCGCGTTGGTCGATTGCAGGGGTGCAGCCGGGGGAGTTGTGCCCCTCTCCCTTCCCTTTAGGCTCACAGTGAGCCACATAAGGCTCAAGGTTTTTCATCATAGATGGCTTCTGACAGAAGTAAGAAAGCGGCGCAATGCGTCCTGACCGATGATGAGTTCTGGCTGTATCCCTGGTCCATTGGATGTGACTGCAATCCCACGTGAGGGCCCGAGTTCAAAGCTCAGCCCTTGGGACTGATTGATCATATAAGAACACGAGACAACCCGCGGCGAACTCCGCGTAAGCAAGCGCCGGATGATGACTATACTTGGGCTGCCGGCAGCCAACTGGCATCATGGGGTCACTAACCCGCTAATGCACGAAACATCACAGGCGCTGTGCCGGCCAACCCCAAGGACGGAGAGAGGGGGGGGGGGGCAGGGTGGAGCCCCTACCATTCCTCGCTGGCCAATGCGCAGTCCTGTGCTGGATCGACATCTTTGACCTCAAGAGACTGAACTCTTGCCGTCAAATCTGGGGCAGGGGTAGACTGCACCCGCGGTCCAAAGTACGCGTTTGTGCTGACTCATTCTGTTGCCCACACATCAGACGTGCCACCGTGCCGAGCAGCACCATAACGCGACTGATCGCGGCCAAAGCCATCCCCTGCCAGGCACGCCGCCGCCTCTGGTGACGTTCGTGTGGTGTGATTTGGGGCGCCACGGCGCCGCGCGAGACGGCAGCGCTCCGCTCCCCGCCGGTGCGGGTTGCTCCGCGCGCGGCCACCGCTCAGAGTCGACATCGGCTGGCAGGTGTCCCATCTCCGCTCGCACCGACGTTAGTACCCATGAGGTGTGGGGAAAAAGTGCGGGCAGATAGAGGGGTCGAATCGCGTTCTGGTGATGTCTTGGCGCCATGCTGCCGAGATATGAGCTTGTGTCTGTGATTGCGAACTGATAACGGACATAAAGTACCCCGGTCGCTGCAGTCCGTCTGGAGGAGGGTGAATTCGACGCACGCGGTGTCATTTTGGTTGCAATCCATCTCTCTGCTGCACACATAGGTAAACTCTCCGAGATGATCTCGTCGCTACATCATATTGCACGTCCCACGTCGCATAGCACACTGCAACTTCCACTGGCTCACTCCAAATCCCAATACAATCTACGTAACAAAAGGCAGGTGTCTTCAATATTCATACGCATACTGTTCTACACAACATGGTCCTCTAAGATGATGGCAAGGGTCAGGTAGACCCGTTATCAATTGTCCTTGCCATACTGTATGGGGGAAGCGATGAGTTAAATGCGACAAGAACCAAATTGTCTTCACTGCAACTTAATTGAAAACTAATTAATCATTACCTCACAGCCTAATGCAGACCCGACGAACAAGAGAAGTGACAATCGACACGCGGTAACGATCACGAAGAACTGCCACGCCACCGCTACCATTAAGCACCGTCCAATACAAAAATCGACGCTCGCCCCGCAGCGTCAACAGCTTCCCATCGCGCCGGCAGATGTCACCACCGTGCAGCCGCGAGTCCGCGCGCATCTGCCGGCTGTCATCGCTCCTACTCCAGCTCCACCAAGATTTGTTCGTCTTCGACGGTGTCGCCCTCCTTGACGTGGATGGCGCGCACTTTGCCGGTGGCCGCGGCCACCAGGGAGTTCTGCATCTTCATCGCCTCGATGACGCATACCTCCTGGCCCTCCGAGACCATGTCGCCGACGCTCACCGCCACCGACTTCACCAGGCCCGGCATCGGTGACGTCACCTGTTTGCCCACGTCCGCCTGCGAGCCGACAAGACCGGCGGTATGATGTCACGGCATGGCGGTGTGACGTCACAGGAGGCATTCCCGGGGTGGCCATTATTCTGGGTGTCACTCATAGACAGCCCATCTCATGGCGCATCACGCAGAAAGGCCTCCAGCGGCAAGTGACCAGCTCGTCGGCAAGCCCATCCGCTTACATGCGAGCTTTGCTGAAGGGCTGAGCGCACATGAATGGCGACACGGAGCAAGGTAAAAGATGTAGCAAAAAGGCTGCCCCGGTGTTATCACGAGAACTACAACAAGGCTTCGGTGCCAGAGCGACGGACCGGAGTCTCACCTCCTCTTTCTTCGGCATCATTTTGAAGTACTCGTAGGCAGCGTCCGAGTACACCTGCACGTCAAACGCCGTTCCTCGGAACCTGAGACAGCACACGGCCCCGGCGTCATGGGCAGCGAGGACGCCCAGCATCCGAGACGGGATTGGCTTTCGACAGATCAACGATGAAACGTCTGGTAGCTTCACTCACTGGTTCCGTTTCATCAGAATTCAAACCATGGACAGCCCGAAAACCACACTTTCGGAAGATGAGACGGTGGACCCCTTCCCTCCAAAAACAACCGAAAATCGACCGCGCCAATGGATAGTTGACCCCACATGAAGCATGCAGCACAACCGCCTTGTCGAGCGCAGCAGCGCGCGCGCGACCGGAAGCCGGCAGGCGGCTGACGTGAGCCGCGCGCCTGCCCCGGCCCAGCGGCGCCGCGCACCTGAGCCTGGCGTCGCCCTTGAGGCCGCGCCGCACCAGCTGCACCATCTCGCGCTGTCCGTTGATGGTGAGGTTCATGACGGGCTCGGCCAGCGTGAAGTCATCGGCCATTGTCAGCTGGTGCTCGCCGCACGTAACCTCAAATCCAGCGCCGGTCTGACGCACCGCGCAGGGCACGTCCCCGGCTGCGCCGCACAGCACCACCTGGCGGGTGGAGGTCGAACTGAGCACGCGGCACCGGCCGGCGGACGGGGGACGATGTCTGGTGGGGGGGGGGGGGGGGGCGAGCAGCTGGGGACGTGGTACCACCTGGCGGGTGGAGGTCGAACTGAGCACGCAGCACCGGCCGGCGGACGGGGGACGGTGCCTGGTGGGGGGCGAGCAGCTGGGGACGTGGCACCACATGGCGGGAGTAGACAAAACAGAGAAACAGGACATCCCCTGAAGGGGAAAGGACGTCTTGGGAAGACATCGAGGGAAAGATGACACCTTGGGAGAAAGCAGAGGGGAGAGGTCATCTTGGGAGGAAAGGGAGGGAAAGAGGACACCTTGGGAGAAAGCAGAGGGGGGGAAGTCATCTTGGGAGGAAATGGAGGGAAAGAGGGCACCTTGAGAGAAAGTAGAGGGGGAGAGGTCATCTTGGGAGGAAACAGAGGGAAAGAGGACACCTTGGGAGAAAGCAGAGGGGGAGAGGTCATCTTGGGAGGAAATGGAGGGAAAGAGGACACCTTGAGAAAGAGCAGAGGGGAGAGGACATCTTGAGAGGAAATGAAGGGGAAAGAGGACACCTTGGGAGAAAGCAGAGGGGAGGGGACATCTTGAGAGGAAATGAAGGGAAAAAGGACACCTTGGGAGAAAGCAGAGGGGGAGACGACATCTGGAGAGGAAACGTTTCCTCATGATGAAAGAAAACAGGGAACTGAAACCACGGCGGCAGGCGATTTCGGCCTTATCATCTCACTTCAGCGACACTCTGCATTAGTACGCAATACAGGGCGAAACACACGGGCTTCAGCACGCAGCGAGCTGACCCGGGCGAGATGTAGTCCAGGGTGACATGCATGTACACTCTTCAGATGCTGCGACAGCTGGAACAGCCACCCTCCGTCAAGCCGCGGCTGATTCCGTGGCGGAATAGGTGACGACGTGAGTGATTTGAAATGCGAACAGGGCTGTCAGACTGCACCACCCGGAGCATGCCCATCCGCGAGTCCTGTGGCGGCCGCCCGCTACATCTAACTGGGTTTCGTATGGTCAGGATACGTTCGGCCTCTACAGACCGTTCCGGGATCTACCGGACTGCTGCACGATTAGGGCGTGAGGCAAACAGTGGGATAACACTGCAGCCCACCCCCCCCCCCCCCCCTTCCCCCTCCTGCGTTCACCCGGCCCCACGACCCCCGACCGTGAACCCCGCCGGACAGTCCCGGCAGGGCCGCAGGGGCGCTCCGCTGGGACCCCGGGCAGGGGCAGCAGCAGCGGCGCCAGTCTCCCAGCGGCAAGCAGCGGTAAACCCAGCGCGACGGGCCCGCCCGAGCGCAACACACGGCGTGACCAGGCCCCGGTCGCCGGCCGCCACGTACCAGATCCCAGGCGGTGGGCGTCGGCTGGAGCGCATGGTGTCCGGTGACGGCCACCGAGCGCCGCTGGTGCTTCACGTGCACGACGGCGGCAACGGCCGCCAGCCGCGCCAGCCCCTCACCCGTCAGCTGGTGGCCGCGGAAGCCATCCGGGTACACCTGCGGCCGGGCGCCGAGGTCAGGTGGTGGTGAAGTGAGTGTCTGGCTCACGGTAGGGGAGGGAGGGGGGGGGGGGCGCGGCACGGCACGGCGTGGGGCGAGCGTCTGGCTCATGGTAGGGGAGGGGGGGGGGGGGGCGACACGGCACGGTGTGGGGCAGGGGCGGACAGGGAATGGCTGTGGACAAAAATATGGAGCCAATGAGTCGGCAGTTAACAAATTGTGTGCAAAGGCAACGTGAATAACGTGTGCGGCCCGAACCCACCAACGCGAATTTGGGGCATAGAATTAAGTTTCATAGGCGGAAGCTGAATATGAACTGATCTTGATAGCCTCAGGTGCCAAACCACGCTCATATAGGAACAGCTTGTCCATTAACACACAAGTGCACTTACCAGCCTTATCTCGCATTGAGTAGTCCCAACGCACAGACCACTTCACATTGTTGGATTCTCCATCGGCACATAGATAGACATTTAAGTCCTCACCCTTGGTTAAAAACCCACACCGGTCGAAAGTCTCCCGCGGCGGGATTCGAACCCGGCGGGCCGCACCTCGGGCAGGTAGTTGGTGGTGATGTCGCCGGCCACGAAGCGCGGCTCGGCCAGGATGTCGCGCAGCAGCGGCACGTTGTGCGTCACGCCGCGGATAACGTACGAGTCGAGCGCGTCCAGGCTGCGCGCCACCGCTTGCGACCGGTCTTGACCGTACGCCACCAACTTGCAGATCATCGGGTCGTAGTAGATGCTGATGTCGGAGCCCTCCTCCACGCCCGAGTCGCAGCGTACCTGAGACCGGCCAGGTCAGTTGTCAGGTCAGAGAGCGCGGGCGGGGGCGCGGGGCGGGGCCGCCTAATGCCGGCCAGGTCAGACGTCAGGTCAGAGGGCGCGGAGAGGGTGCGGGGTGGGGCCGCCTAACGCCGGCCAGGTCAGCCGTCAGGTCAGAGGGCACGGGCGGGGGCGCGGGGCGGGGCCGCCTAATGCCGGCCAGGTCAGCCGTCAGGTTAGAGGGCGCGGAGAGAGTGCGGGGTGGGGCCGCCTAACGCCGGCCAGGTCAGCCGTCAGGTCAGAGGGCACGGGCGGGGGCGCGGGGCGGGGCCGCCTAATGCCGGCCAGGTCAGCCGTCAGGTCAGAGGGCGCGGAGAGGGTGCGGGGTGGGGCCGCCTAACGCCGGCCAGGTCAGCCGTCAGGTCAGAGGGCGTGGAGGAGGTGCGGGGTGGGGCCGCCTAACGACGGCCAGGTCAGCCGTCAGGCCAGATAGCGCGGACGGGGGCGCGGGGTGGGGCTGCCTAGTGCCGGCCAGGTCAGCCGTCAGGTCAGAGGGCGCGGGCGAGGTGCGGGGCCGGGCCGCCTAATGCCGGCCAGGTCAGGCGCCCCTCAGAGGTCGACGAGCAAGGGTGGAGTGCCCGCCGCGGGTCGGGTCAGGTCAGGTCAGGTCAGGTCAGGTCGCGTTACCAGTCACGGCGAGCAGGGCACCCGCTGCACACCAGGGCAGGCCAGATCCCGACCCACCGGTCGGGGGACGGAGGGGAATGCCAGTTTCGAACCAAGGCTGGTCAGACCAAGGGCGACAGACGGAAATGGGTCCTTCGCTGCGTTAAAATACAACCAGACACCGTAGCTCGCGGGCAGAGAACCAGTCTGGTATACCGACGACAGGTCGCGGGTTTGAAAACCATCACCACTGCCTTACGGTTTCATTTCGTAATTGTTGTCAAACACGATGGTGTTATGTTTCTGTAGGGACTGCAGCTGTTGGACATCAGTTACTGTATCAACCGCAGTTGTAGCAGTTCTGATATTAGAGCGACGGCATTTGCAGCAGCTATCAAGTGATCAATACGTCGTGTAATTCATATATGAACAGAACGATATGTTACACATTGCAGATATGAACAGAACGAAAACAGCCGACACAATACTGGCGTCGCCATGGATTCTTGCCATATGCAATACAGATTTCAAATCTGATGCACTAAGCAACAAAAGAAACGTGCCAGCACACCAAAATTCCAAAGGAAAGCACAATGGATGCCGGAATGACACAAGCCGATACTCGCAGTACAGACAGCAGAAGCACTGCACCAGCTCCTTACACCGGGTAGGTGGTTGGGTTCCATGTATCTGCTCAGTCTGCCGACAGATGGCAGGCCAAAGTTCTTGAACGGGTCTTCGGCATACACACGAGACTCAATAGCCCAGCCACGGATGGGGATGTCCTCTTGTTTCAGCTTCAGCTTGTGTCCTGACAGCAACACCCGACATATGAGGGCGACAGGGCCTCAAAGCGCAGAAGCACTCGATCCAACATCCCAATCGCACGAATATGTTCGCGTGGTGTTCAAGTCACTTCAGGGTATCTTCGAAGAATGTACGTGGCCTTTTTAGCTGACCAAACTCCCTACAAGCCGTTCCGGAACGGAACCCAGTGGGGGGGGGGGGACGCGAGGGAGGCGAGGGACGCGGGGGACGCAGGGGACGCAAGGGACGCAAGGGACGCAAGGGACGCAGGGGACGCGAGGGACGCGGGGAGGCATGGCAGACGAAGGAGGCGGGGGGCGGGGGAGGTAGGGGACACGGGGGAGGCGGGGGAGACAGGGGACGCGGGGGACGCGGGGGAGGCGAGGGAGGCGGGGGACGCAGGAGAGACAAGGGAGGCGGGGGACGTGGGGGGGGGGGGGGGCGGGAGGCATGGGAAGCTGAAAGTCAGGGTACGCGGGGAGGCGAAGTCAGGGGACGCAGGAGAGACAAGAGAGGTGGGAGACATGGGAGGGGGGGGAGGGAGCAGGGGGACGGCGGCGGCCGCTCACCGCTGGCGACGCGGATCATCTGATGCACGAGATCCACGCCTGTGATACACTCGGTGATGGGGTGCTCCACCTGCAGGCGCGTGTTCATTTCCAGAAAGTAGAAGTTGCGCTGTGCGTCCACCAGGAACTCGACGGTGCCGGCCGAGCTGTAACCAATGCGGCGAGCCAGCGCCACCGCCTGCTCGCCCATGGCGCGCCGCGTCTGCGCGTCCAGGAACACGCTGCAGCGGCCGGGCAGTGTCAGGGGCCGGAGAGGTGTCAGGGACCAGGGCGGTGTCAGGGGCGGGGCGGGATGGGCGCAGCGTCAGGGGAAGGAGCGGTGACAGGGACCAGGGCGGTGTCAGGGGCGGGGCGGGGCAGTGTTAGGGGCAGGAGCGGTGTCAGGAAAAAAAGGGAGGGGTACATAAACTGGACAGAAGCTGTGAGAGAGATGGCTTAAATGAGATAAATATCTGCTATATGACACAAGTCCTAGTGGGGCAGGATACCGGGAGAAGGAGTGCCGAGAGAAGGGAAATCATCACAGGAGGCCGCGCAGGAGCGTAGAGAAGAAGAACCTCAGAGGGAAGAACCATGGAGAGAATGGATACCTGCCAGATGGAGGGAGCATAGAGATGGGGGGAGTGGTAGAGATGAGCGTGGCCAATGGGGCAGCACGGACAGAAAAAGACCCATCAGGGAGACAAATCGATTATTATCACTTGAATTTGATGACACATTTGACAGTTCCAGCAGTTGTACACTACTGACCAATGAATTCCCATTGACACCATAGGCACAATCATCCCTCTGTATGATATGCTTGGGATGTATATGCTTCACACAGCCATGCCTCAGTCTGCACACACTGACCTGGGTGCTTCCTCAATGACCTTCTGGTTCCGTCTCTGGATTGAGCATTCCCTCTCATTCAAGTAGATCGCGTTGTTAAACTGATCAGCCAGGACCTGGCAAAACAAATAGTTGGAAGAAAAGATGAGTTCCGAAACGAGGAGCAACGCAAGAAACACAGTCCGAGAAAAGACGCCAAAACCACTGAGCAAGATGGAACAAAACACATTTTGATCCAGATGCAATTGAGTGTGGGTTAACACACATCAAATGTTTGATTATCTAGCAGCATTCAGGCACATTTGGAAAAAGAACATGCACACAAAGCATGACCGCGAAGCCGTAACAGCATATGCTCCGTCATTACCAAGGGTGTGAGCCCCAAGCGGACGGAATTCTTCAAGCTGTGTTCCTAGAGTCTCACCTGTATCTCAATGTGCCGGGGACTGTCAACAAACTTCTCCACCAGAATTCTGTCATCTCCAAAGCTGGACGCGGCCTCCTGCTGCGACAGCCGGAAGCCCTCCCTGAAACCGACGACAGGGTCCTGTCAGGAGAAACCCATCCCTGGCGAGGGCAGGAGCACATCATAGAATCCCTCCCTGACACGGAAGTTGTGTCACTGGGTCCTCGTTGACGGGGAGGGCATGGCGATTGTATCACGAAACCGCTCTCTGGCACAGTCTGGATAGGGAAACATCACAGAACCCCTCCCTGACACGGAGGATGGGGTAACATCACGGCAGTCCTCCCCGAGATAGATAACATGGTCACATTGCAGCACCTCTCCCTGACACGGAGGCCAGGGTCGCATCACAGGACTCCTCCCTGACGTGCAGGGCGTGGTTCGCTGGGAAGACCGAAGGACACAAACACAGATACCGAGCTGAATCTATGGCCAAAGTTCCGCAATAATTCGTAAGTTACACCTACCTACCACACATTTCCCAGTGCGACAAACGCAACACCCAAGAAACAAAAGTAGCCAATGGCCCATCCACGAATCCCTTCTCCGACAGCGCCGCGAACATAGCTAACGGGTTGTCACATGTCCACCCCACGAGTAACACAATGTGTCGCGACACTCGAAGTGAGGACTCCAGGCACGACAAACGGACGCCATGTAAGGGAACACACACAAGAGCGTGGGACTACACCAGCAGCCACTGGAGCGTGCGCGGGTCAGCGGCGGCGGTTGGCGTTCGCGCAGTCCTGCAGCCAGGCTTGAGTTGGGACGGGGGGCGGCAGCATCGGGACGTGACCGCTTCTGGCCGCTGACCCAATGTCGAGTGGGTGGGGGTACCAGTCCCTAAGCGGGTGCGGAGCTTGGCCCGACTGACACGGACGGGTCCGCCGACAACTCGCCAGAGAGTGCCAGCCTGCACCAGGCCACCCGAGCACCGGCATGTACGGCGCATAAAATCATTCGTAGTTCCGTGCGACCGAAACATGAGAGGCAACGTCGTCTATCGAGCTAGGTGTTGAAAGGCAAATGATCCTGCCACCATCTTAGATGGCAGGCTCAGCGTAGACCCGATCAGCTCTGCTGGGCGAGGCATCTAAGCCCATAGCCACGCACATAGCCCCACGTGCTAGAAACTCGCCCCTCACGACGTCAGAAAATAGTTTTACCACACTAGCTTGGTATCGATACAAGTCGTCGCCGATGCCATCTAGGCAGTATGCCCTCTTGGACACTGGAATCGGTGAATGTTTCCAGCAGCAAGAGCCTACGACACCTCTGGATCTGAACACCAACTCCCATACACCTGGCCACTTGTGTCGGCCCGCATCGCCACTGACCTGGCCTGCTCGTCGTTCCTGGCCACGCGCATGCCCTTCCCGCCGCCGCCGGCCGACGCCTTGATCATGACCGGGTAGCCGATCTTCCGCGACACGGCGATGCAGTGATCCACGTCCTGGATCTCGCCCTCGAACCCTGCGGAAGGGCGCGAGCCGCGCGGGTCACGAGTCGCTCACCAGGCCGCGAAATACGCCGCCTCGCTCCTCCGACGGACAACGAAGCAGGGCCATACCAGACGTTCCACGGTAGCGTTCACTATCGGAGCACAGTTAGACCACACTGGCGAACGGAGAGCGAGACGAGGCATGTCAACTGGCCAGGCATTGCACACCAAGTAGTTTTGACACGAACTGACACCCACCGGGGATGGTGTTGACCTCCGCCTCGATGGCCAGCTTCTTGGACTGGATCTTGTCGCCCATTCCGGTGATGGCGTTCGCGTTAGGACCAATGAACGCGACGTTGTTCTCTTCCTGTTGACGAGGGGGTCCCATGAGACACGGCCGACGTGCAATCGCCAACAAAACAGGACATAAAATCGAAGTGGCCACCAAAAATGCAATTGCTGCACATGGCGTGCACTGATATCCAAGCGGAGAAAATCATGCGTTTCGTACATATCGGAACATACCAACCGACAAAACAGAGAAGTATAAGTTATGTCACAAAAAACAACATGTACCACGACCAGATTAAGTGCATCCCATGCGACAAAGGGTGCATGCTGTGTCCTGAGTAATGGGAATGTGCCTTAAGAAAACCCCTACCAAACTACTCCAACTACTGAAAGGGAGCGCCCCACCTTTCTGCACTTTTCACTTATTGTTAAATCAGACACGTACGATTTTGTCAGTAACATCAGCTTCCTCTAAACTCTTCTGAACAGCTCAGAATTTCAACATGAAGTAACCAAACCTGCGGAGAAATCTTACTCGACTCTGCTCACCACTTTGAACGTAAAACACTTAATCTGTCTTGTTTTTTTCCAACGCGTGTGTTCTGTAATCTTTGCAACACACTAATGTGTCCAAAAAATTGTGTAATAAATGTTATGAAAGCTTGAAACGCTCTTTTTAGACAAAAAAATCCAACAAAGCAAAACAAACGCTGTTTTATTAGGACCAGTAGAGGCGCACATGGTAGCTGTCATGACGAAAGTGGTCGCCACCGCCGGGAAGAAGCGTAGTGCTGTTATAAAGTGCCGAGTGTAATTTTGTCTCGAGAATGATTAAAACCGATATCTGCATCATGTATTAACAGCGCTGCTGTGACCCTAACCAGCGTCATTATTAGACGTAACTAGCCCTGGTGTTTCAAGAGTTTTTTTTAACGTGCTCCAAAGGCAGGATAATCCCTTTAGTCAATTCCTGACAAATTGCAAAAGCAGCGCATGGCCATCAGCACCACCATCTGATGACGTCAATCACGGCCTGCGCCCCAAAGTGTCAGCGGTTACACAAGATCCATGCCCGCGACATCCCACTGTCAATAGCTGCACATACTATCGCTGCTGCCGCCGGTCGTAGCGAAGCCAGCGGCGCGGCGCCTCACCAGCAGCCGGACGAAGTCGGCGTTCTCCGAGAGGAAGCCGTAGCCGGGGTGGACGGCCTGCGCGCCCGTCTGCTGCACCGCCTCCAGCACCTTGTCCATGCAGAGGTAGGACTGGCGCGCCGGCGCCGGGCCGATGCACACCGCCTCGTCCGCCAGCTTCACGTGCATCTGCCGGGCGGCGCGCGCCAGAGGTCAGGGCACCGCACCGCCGGCGGGCGCGCCGCAGTTCGGCTGTTTTGGTCTGCAGGGGTGGCGAGATCGATGCTTCAGATTGCTGGAGAACTGGGCTAGCGTGGCGGGACAGCGAGCAGTGCGGCTAAAATACACACTTGTAAGCTGAAGTTTGGGACGTTCGCTGTCCTGTACGTGGTCGTCGTCGTCATCATTGGAGCTCTACAACGCGCTCAGCTGCTGAGTCTTTACAGCGTCGCCTGCCTCTCACGCTGGCAGGAAAGGCGGGTAACGCCGGGAATCGATCGTTGTACCTCTGGTTTCCCGGACGTGTCTACGCTATCGACACCCACCCTGTACGTGGCATGACCATGTTTATTCTTATTCCTGATAATGGTGCCATGCTCCAGTATTCTAAAACAACGATGATTTTGTACATTTCAGGAAAGACATTAGGCTACTGGCTTCCCAGCATCCGAGTAACGAGTTCTGATCTTGCAAAAACTTATCTTAAATACACCACGATAAGCTGGTTAAGCGACTATGTCATGCGAGGTCATGATACATTATGGAATGCTCGACCATTTCAAAACAAAGCTCATGATCACGACTACCACCATGTAGATGATACCAGAGCATGGGCTCCTGTAATCAGACGCCTTTGGAAACCAACACAATGTGTCTGATCAGTGTGGCAGACATTGACTGTCGGAAAGCCTGAATTGCACGGGGGTTTAGTAGGTAGATAATTCGTCGATATGATGTCCGTGCACTAATTTCACAAACTCTAGGTACTTGAAACAGGCTTCTTTCAGACCTAGCCAAACTTGGCTATTTCATTGGACCAAATCGATCAACTTGCACTGATTTACGGCTTTCGTGAGACAAAACACTGCGTAAAACTCAATGTCTTTTTCATGCAAACTGAACGAAATGAACTAGCCTGCATTCCATGTGGTTGGCATAGCATAATATGACAGGCCAAGGCTGCAGTCTGCTGCATTCGAGACCAGTTTCACAGAAGGCGACAATGGCCGTTCTCATGCCAGTTCCTAGCATACCTAGCATACGGTATGATGGAGCGCGATGATGACGATAGCCTCGCAGTGGCCGGATTCGTGGTAGGCGCTGGACACCGCATAACCAGCTCCTTACATTAACCAATACCTTGGTCGGCACAGAAGCCCAGTATTTCCTCTGACAAAGTGTGTCAGTTTTGTCGCTGCAGCGTTGGCACCGTCGCTCGATCGTTCATTCCCCTTCCGCCCTTCTCCTACCGCCCCTTGTCCGTGAAATGCGACATTTCAGCAGGAGTTTGGATCCCCTCAGATGTGGCGTCCAAACCCCAAGCGTCTGCCACTCGCCCGGCGCAGAGGCCGGCGTTCTAACCATAACAGCACCAAGATGAGCCGCGAGCGACGAGGCTTCTGCGTCATGGCAAACACAGTATCCGTCTCGGAGCAAGAAGCATGGCACCAATGCCGTGACAAACTTAAGTCCCCACAAATCACCACCGGCCGTGTCCATGGCGACATACAGACATTGCCAGTGTGTCACATCCAGACAAGCACCACTCACAGCCTTGGCGTCCACGTCGGAGTGCACA